ATAGGAGACACGACATTAACAGCACATTTCATTCCTTTAAGCAGCTCCTTTAATTCCACATGATGCTGCTAAAGAGAACAGATTTTTTCTCGATCTCGGAGAGCAGGACTACAATCTCTGAACTCGTAAATTTCTTTTTACTTTGCGATGTCGTTTATGAATGGACACTTCCTGGTATGTGGGGCAGGAAACATAGCCTTATATGGTGTTTTTGGAGTGTTAATTATGTAAATTACCTCTCCTCGTGCACGAGCAGCTGGAAATGAACAGGTGAATTTACGCAGCTCATTTACACACTTTTCCTGAAGATAGAAGAGTTTGTTGAATCTGACGTGACATGTTAGTACGAACCATTTGTACGAACGAGAGTAAGAGAAATTCAGGATAAGAATACGAACATGTTGTTGCATGAGGCCCAATGTTATCAAGGGAGCGCAGATTAACAGGGAGTTCATTCCAGAGCCTGGGGACCACAGAGGAGAGGGCACGGTCACCACGAGTCTTAAAGCGAGTGTGGGGAACTATTATGAGATTTTAATCCTGTGAGCGTAGGTCCCGTCTGGGGTTGCATGGGGAAATGAGATTTTTAATGTAGTTGGGGGCTTGGCCATGGAGCACTCTGAAAGTGAGGACCAGAATTTTGAACCTGATTCTGAATTGAACAGGAAGCCAGTGAAGTTTAGCTAGGATCGGGGAGATGTGGGTGAATTTGGAGGTTCGAGTTAGGAGTCTTGTTGCAGAGTTTTGGACAAGCTGAAAGTGATTTAACTGTTTCTGGTTTAGGCAGGTGAACAAGCTGTTACAATAGTCTATGTGGTTAGAAATGAAGGCTTGAACTACCATTTCCAAGTCTGAAGTGGACAGTAGGGGCCGAAGTTTAGAGATACCTGTATTACGAAGCTGAAAGTAGCATGTAGAAACCAGATTCTTTATGTGTTTATCTAGAGACAGATCCGAGTCAAAATTCACTCCCAGATTGCGCACATTTTGCTGGACAGTTAACTCAAAGAGCCCAGATGTTCTTTTATCTTAGGGATTTTATTTTCAGGGGCCAGGATCAAGGTTTCTGTCTTGCTAAAGTTTAGGAGCAGCAAGTTGTCAGACAGCCACTGGTTAACATTTGTGACACATTTTATGAGAGAGGATAGCTTGTGGGTGGTAGAGTCATTAAAGGAGCAGTATAACTGCAAGTCATCTGCATAGAAGTGGTAGGAGACATCAGGTAAATTTTTGATGACCTGAGTCGGGGCGGATGTAGAGCAGGAATAGAATTGGGCCCAGAATGGAACCCTGTGGAACTCCGCAGGTGAGTTTGGCAGAGTCAGAGAATGATTGGCATAATAAGACTGACAAAGTGCAATCTGAGAGGAATGATTTGAACCAATCTAGCACAACCCCAGAAATCCCTATGTCTCTCTGGTTTCGAAGTAGAATAGAGTGTGATCGACAGTGTCAAAGGCTGAGGAAAGGTCCAGTAAGAAGAGGACAGAGTACATGCCTCTATCAGCAGACATTAGCAAATCATTTGATACATGAAGAAGAGCAGTCTCTGTAGAATGTGATCTGTGGAAGCCAGATTGAAAGTGGTCATAAAGGTTATTTACATCCAAGTAAGCTGTAAGTTCTACTGAAACAATTTTCTCCAAGACTTTAGACAAAAATGGTAGCTTTGAAAAGGGCTGGTAGTTATTCAGGTCAGATGGGTTTAAAGACTGCTGTTTTAAAAGATCCTGGGACACATCCAGATTTAAGAGAGAAGTTTAGCAAGTCCACAAGAGTGGATCCCACTAGTGGGATCCACTACAACATAGTGGGATCCACTTTTAAGAATCTGGGAGGTAAGATGTCGAGAGGGGAGGCAGATGGTTTAATTTTTTGGATTATGGTCCCAAGATTGTCAATAGTTACCAGATCAAAAGAAGACCAGGAAAGACTAATAGTGCATTCACACCAAACGTGATTTCAGCATCAGCAGCATCAGGTTTAAATACAAAGTCTATGGTGGACGCGCTTCAATCAGCGTTGGGAAGTGCTGCAGCGCCTCAAGCGCGATTAGAGCAGCGCGATTTGAACGATCTGAGTGTTCAACGTGCTTGATGTGCAAATCGCTGAAGTTAGAAAATCAGAACTTTTGCAGCTCGACGCGCCGCGTCAACCAATCAGAGAGACTCCACTGTGTGACGTAG